CTGTGACTGTGTGACCTATAAATTTTGATATGTGACCAATTACTTTTGAAATATGTGACTAACAAATTAATTGTGACTTATAAAATTATATAATACGTGACCGTAAAAAAATCTGTGACCAATTAATTTGGAAATCTATGATTGTGTGACTTATAAATTCTGATCTGTGACCAACGAATTAATTGTGACCTATAAAATTCTTGAACTATGACCGTAAATTGTAAATATGTGACCAGAATGGTCACCGGAATAGTCGTCGGAATCGGAGCAATCGCGGGTGGTCGCCGAAGAAGAGTGGTGGTCGGTATGGTCGCCGGAATAATCCCCGAAACGGTATGGGCGGTGCATGTGGGATGAGTTAATTATATTATATTAGAATTAAATATTTAATAATAAATTGATTTAATAATTTATTATTTCATCAAAAAAAAACCTGATTTTTGAATTTTCAAATTATAAACCTAATTTTTGAATTGGTGTAAAGTATACACTTTATTTATGAATGATTGCTGCTTGTCTAAATTCTTTTGGTTTCTAAGTCTAATATTGGGTCCAATTTTGAATACGGTTGAAACTTTCATCTCCACAATTTTGCCCTGTTGTGGAAAAATCACGATTCTTAAGAAGCAAACAACAAAAGTTCACACGATTTAATAATTCAATTCCCCTATCTTCCAACTCCAAGAAAAGTAAGTGGAGCACCGTCCAAGAATACAAATTTAATCTCGTTAATTTAAATACGTAAAATACCGAGATATATTAAATGAATTAAGATAAACTCTGCAATTTTTTATTAATTAATAAAAACAACAAATTACAACAAAAACCCTAATCCGTGTTAAAGAAAAAAAATCTTATGAAACTCTTAACAATCAAATAAAAATAATAATAACACTCCCTCTAAATGACTTAATTTAATGACTAAAGAGTAGTTGATTTGTGAGTGATTGCAGGCAATCGTTAAGTCGTGTAAGAGGTGCGATCACACATGGTCACATTATTAGTTACTAGTTTAACCCTAATGCGGAATTAAAATTGACAATTAATAAGCAATAAGTCACTTTTAATTGTTTCTAGATGGTTAGTCAATCAATTCAATTTTCATATGTTTTGAATGCGGTAGTTATATAGAAAGCAGTAAATAACACAAAATATGATGACGGAGAAAACCCTTAATTGAGTAAAAACTTCGGGATCAAGCCAGTAGTTTCTACTATAAACAATGTGAACTTCCAGTATGATTCAGCTTAGAAAATCCACTAGACTCACTGATCTAATTTATGCAATCTCCAAGATCCGCTGGAAAATCTTCTGAAATTGTCTATCACATGTAAACCACCAAGAGCGCCTTGTTCTTGTACTCTTCCAGTGTTTGCTGTCCAACCTCCCTCAATCTTCAACAACTCTAAAAACTATTAAGAAAGTACATTCCTGAATATGAATTTAGGAAGTGAGTGTTTTGGATTCTTCAATTTAATGTTTTCCCAAAATGTGATTGAATGATCTCAAGAATGAAAATGATAAATCACAAAGGATAAATGTCTAGGCCCATCAAAACTCTTTAAAACGCGAACTAGGGTTTCCTCGAGGAATACTGTAGCTCAAGCGATAGCTCAGCGGATGCGAGCAACAGCTGAAGAGTCAGGTTGGTTTGAACTAAAAAATCGGTTTGATTTGATTAATTTTTACCATTAAAAAATCGAGTTTGATTGGTTGCGATTTCAGCAATCAACCCGTCAATTAACCAATTCAACCCTCTAATACATTTATTTATTTTTTTAATTTTAAAATTCATATTTTAAACTTAAAAATATAAAATAACAAAAACAAAAATGCTTGCTTAAATAATTTGTTTACTGTCTATACTTTTTTTCTACCAAAACTCCAAATTTCAAAAAAAAAAAAAA